GGAAGCGGCGAAACTGCTATAGGTGTATGGGTGAGATGAGAAATGGCCTCGGTCCAGTAGGTCGGGAACGGCAGTTCATCGCGGACATTGCGTGACTTTGGCTTTTTCTTAACAGGCCGCTCATCTTCGGATCCCGAAGAGATAGATATGACACTGCTCAGATCGCTGCTATCATCCGGGTCAACTTCGGCCGTTTTGCCACCCTTATTCGTAGCGGCGGGAGGTTTTGCTTTGCCATTTGTGGTTGTTGATTTCGAAGGCGTGTTATTGTCGGCAGGTTTTGCATCCTTCAGTTTTTCCAGATTCCTAGGCGTTCCTTCTTCGCTCTGATTCCAGCCATAACCAATTGGCTGTAGACTGACTACCATGCGGGTCTCGATGCCGAGCCCTCGTACTAAAGCGGTGAACAATTGCTCTCCCAAGTCTCTGCTCCCCTCACATTTACGAGCTCTGTCGCGAAATGCTTCTAAATTCTCCACTCGCTCGCCAAAAGTATCGGGATGGTCGGGGTTCTCCCTCCAGGTATTGATCTCGGCTTCTAGCGTCGATGGCGAGAGGTAGCCGCGTTTGCGTAGGCTCGGAGATGTGACTTGGAACTTGGACTTCCAATACGCAGAGAGATATTTGAGGAGGCGAAGCAGAGGATCCCCAGCTGACATGTTTGGGGCTTTCGGCTCGAGTGGTTCAGATGTCGCGTTCCAATCGCGACCTTTCTTGGCGCCTTTGACGTCGCCCTTGCCCTTGTCCTTGCCTACGGGAGCTTTCTTCTTGTCTTCGCGAGCAGATGATCGCTTCTGCGGGCTTTCGTACACTTTGACGCCGTTCTTTCCGCTGTTCTTCCATGTACCCTTCTTGTCTTTCGTCACCTGCTTGGGTGGAGGACTCGGCGCCCTCTGCACAACGACAAGACTGGGGCCGTCTGTGATACCGGCGTTATCCCAGTACCTCTCCAGTTCGCGCCAGCAGCCGGACGACATGCCTTCCACTAGTATCTTCTGCACTTCCTTGTCTTGTATCCAAGCGTTTCTCATGAGATTGTGGTACATCAGGCACTGTACGTGCATACAATGTGTGACATTTCGTATTTGCCGCTGTATCTTGGATGCGCCCTTCTGTCCTTCCGATTTCGAGTCGAAGGCGGTCTTTGGCGCGGCGGACAGGGTGAGGGCGATGTCGCCAGTGATGACGGGTGCAGGACCATGGTCTGGTTTATTGTTGTTCTGCGCACCAAGCGCGTCTTCCCAATTGTCGGCTTCGCTGTCCTCGCTATCACCATCAGCTGTCGCCTTTCCTTTGCCTTTGCCCTTGTTTGCGACGTTCAGCGGAACATCTTCGAAATCATCTTCGCTGCTCTCCGGTTCTGACAACTCGCTGTCGTCATCTTCTTGCTCCAACAGGGCTTTGGTCTGGGCCAGTGTGAGCTTGGCCTTTGGCGGTGCGTCGAGGGTTTCGAAGACGGACTCTTTGCCTTTGCGAGTGGGTGCAGTAGCTTTGCGAGCGCGCGCACGCTTCTGTGGCGGTTCTATTTGCGGTGAGGCGGATCGCGAGCGCTTTCGGGAGAGGATGGGCGGCATACTGATGCCTGGTTGTCGTTAACGCGATCGTGACATAGGGACAGGCGTGGTGCGACTTGTTTGTAAGGGTTGAGGCTAGATGGCTGGAATGATGACGCACTTTCCCCTGTTGGAATTCCGATCTGGCGGAACGATCTCGTGCAAGGACCCACAGTCGCGTGGCGCCTTTTCGCGCGGTCACGAGCGTCTCACGTCACATCAGGCACATTGTCCAAAGTCCCTGCATTGGCATTTTACTACTCATGTCCCGAGCCAATTTATCCCGCGCACCATAATTGCTTATTTGCTAGCCGCGATCAAGACCGGTCTAGCCTACGAGTCTCGTGGAAGCCAATAACTCTTCTCAGACCTTCTTCCAAAGTATCTCTATCCATTGAGAAAAGAAAGCGGAAATTGCCTGGCTTTTCATCATGATATGCGTGGCCGGCTGACATCTCTACGCCGTGATCATACAGCGCCTGTCTCAGTTCATCCTCATCCTGCCACGTCGCGCTCCGTAAACACGCCGAGAGATCGATCCAGAGGAAAAACCCAGCGTTACTAAATCACGTGGTCCTGTTAGTGACTCCTGCAATGCAACAACTCGAAAACGCCGGGGTGTACTTACGCTTGCTTGTTATAGCGAATTCCAGCTTTGTCAAGTCCCTTGGTGACAAGCTCGTGGTGTTCACCCAGCACCCTTGCACTCTCGGCTAGAAATTGGTCGTGCCATTCGTCGTCCTCAAGTATAGTGGTGGCTATAGCGTCTGTCACTGGCGATGCGCCATGGAAACGTCTGCGCCAAGAAGACAAATTAGCATTCTTAGCTGTATCTGGATGTTCGAGCAGACGTACGCTAGAGACTGCACAGCTTGACCCAATTCTTCGTTTCGGGTGACTAGACATCCTAGTCTCAGACCGGCAGCGGCGAAATCCTACCAAGGCATTAGTTGCAACAACTCTTTCTCGAACTGAGCTGGCCTGACCTTTGACATCCCGTACATCACATGGACAAGCTTATCATCGATGATGCCGGTCATATCAACAGAGAGTACTGATGTAAAGCCTGGATGAAACTCATCCGTTCGATACACTGACTGAGCATAGATTTCATCGCTGATGAGATGTATCTTATGCTTTGCACAGAATTGTAATATGGCCTCGAGAGCTTTGTGAGTATAGCACTGCCCTGGAAAGATGAGTCAGTTCGACGGCTCTTTACGTAGGTGCATGGTACGCGCCAAGAGGATTGTGCGGGTTGGAAATGACAAGTGCCTTCACGTCAATTCCGTTTCGGCCCGCTTCTTCAAGAGCGCGCTCATAACATTCGACCGCTCCGGTAATGAACTGATCCACGCCATGGAATGGGGTGTAAACCAACTTGCAGCTGTTCCAAGTTCAGTGGCTGCTGAACGCATTTATTGACACGTCGAGACTCACTTCGACATGCTTCGCATGTCTGGGTTGAAAGAGCCATATATCGGCATGCCAAGGAGCAAGCCTTCATTCTCTCCATCGGTCAGACATAGTGACAAGATGTCATTCAATGCCGTCACACCGCTGACAAAGGACACTTCATCCATCGCCACAGCTGACGCGGGCAAGAAGCGCTTGTTGATGAAAGTAGCCATTGCTTGTCGTAAGCGTTTAGAGCCGAACGGGCCGTCATGATAGGTCAAGGTGTCGAGTTCAAATGAAGGAACGCACTACACATTATGTTAAGTGAGTCCCTCTTGTTCAAGTGCAAAGACCAACCTTGGTCTTTACGTAGTCAAGCACTTTTCCGCGCATGAGGAACTATTCGGTACATTAGCTCTGATACTCAAAGTACGACAACCATGATGTTAGGCTCTTGCTTACGTTCTCCGCATTTCTAAAGGACACTAGACCTGTTGGATGTTTGGTTTTGTCGTAGGGGAGGCCACGATCTTTCGTGTAGCTTGCAGCCAGATCTAAAGCCGCATAATTGCGGCCACGTACAGAAAGCATATTCTTGTAAGGATGAGTCTCAGGTTTCTAGGCACCTGATTGCAAGAGGCGTCGGTTCATGAAGCAATGGCGCATCTGAAGCTCTGATTCGCGATGCGGGGCAGCTGTCGCATGTATGCCAGCTTGTGAGCTACTCAACAAGGTACCTACCGAAGTGGTCAAGTGCATGATAGGCTGTGAGTCATATAAAAGGCGCAGCAGCCGGGCATGGTAGCACCGAGTTACGATAGGATGCCCTTTGGACGAGCCTTGCTTACGGACATTGTCTCGACTGCTGCCTGAGAGGCCGCCCGTCTTGAACACCGTGGAACGCCTCAACGAACGATTGGACATGAGATGTGCGCGAAGCATGCAGTATCCGCTGCCAGTGTCCAAAAGGGATAAACGCCAGATGAGACTCATCAACCTGCGATATGAATAGTACCAACACCGGCTGCAGTGGTTGCCTTGTTGCGTTGACGACGTGTGGCGTGTTGTGCTGAGGGCTGACTTGGGAGGTGTCGCGCCGTTATATATCGAGCGCGCATCCTCAGCCTCAGTGAATCCATCTGAACCTTGTTGAGATGTTATCACATTTTGTGATGATGTTCAACGTCTTCCATATTTCCGAGGGCGCACTTAGTTGCCGCCTGCCTCTACGAGAGCCACTAAGCGATAAGACAGACAAGATGATACCAGCACTTGCCGAGCTAGGAGAAACGAAACGATGCGTGAAAGGAGGTGGGAGATGCGGGTGAACAAACACTGGGCAAGAGCTGTGAGTTTCACGCGTTCCCGCGCGATGACGCACGTGCACGTGACGGAACTCGACGGAAGGTCTGCGGTAAACCTCAGCTCGAGGTGTCTGTTGCTATTGATTCACAACGCTAAATTCTGGATAAACCGACAGATAGTCACATATCTTGCGGTCGACAACGTTTCGATAATTTGCACAGTACCAAAGTCACGAGTGTAGGGAGCTCCAAGTTGAGCCGGGCACAACTCCTCACCAAGTCTCAAAATGGTATGGCGCAGGTACCCCGTCGGATTGATCGCTGCACGGCGCCGTCGCTCGTCCCTTCGTCACAACCACATTTGCACGTCGCATCGCATCAAGAGTGCACTTTCATCGCTGCTAACCCCACAACCTGACCAAATCGCCGCGAAAGACGCAGCGAAACCGCCAGAATGCTGCTCGACACCTACATCATCAACATAGCCACACCTGCCCGTGACCTGTGGCTCCTCAGGCAGCCGGCCTCCCTCCCCAGTCCTCTGCCCTTAGCATGCATTTGCTGCGATTGACCTTACGCCCTCTTCTCTACTTTTTTTCTCACCTGCGTTGCTACTCTTCACCATAGTGTACCGACCTTGTTACAGTCTGATCTTGCATACTGTTGACGTTCTCACACTCTAGTTCCGTCGTTCTCGTCGGTCCCACATCTTCCTGTCCTTAGGCATCCAGATACACACCGGAGCATGTACCCGCTGCTGCTCTTCACAGTAATTATTACTGTCCTCTCCGGTCCGGTGGAAGCGTCAAACCCGTTTGCAGACCTCATCGTGTCTGACACCCCCATGGACGGAACCTACTCCGACATCGACGGCGTGCTGTGCCAGCTTTGCTGCCTGCCCTTGTACCAATGCTTTCACGGGCACATGGTAGGATCCTGAGTCCCTTCTCTATGGCGCATGCTAACAGTTTCATTCAGAACCCATATGGCGCAGCGAGCCCTTTCTACGTAGACCCCAGTGTCTTGCACATGCCGCCGCTCGGCTTCGATCGTACGCAACCAGACCTAGCACCGATATACGACTTTGTCAACGAGGGGCAGCCCTTGCTCAGAGAGCACGTCCAAGTCATGGATGCGAACGAGACCATGGTGCAGCCAGCCACTGTGCAAGCGCATGTTGAAGATACCTATAACCCTGGTGATCGCTTAGCGACACCACGCAATCGGAAGCGACAACCACCTCGCCCGGGTGGTTTCCATTGCGACAAGGACGGCTGCAGTAAGACTTTCAACCGTCAATGTGATTTGAAGTAAGTCCTACCACTGGATCAAGCGTACCGGGTTGTCGGCTTACCGTTGTAGTCGCCATCAGAAGAAACATTCGACCGATAAGCCTCACGTGTGCTCGAAATGTCCCATGAGCTTCGACTATCCGAAAGATTTGCGGAGACATCTACCACAACATAATGACCCTTCTTTCGCAACGGACAAATACCTCTGCCCACATCCCGGCTGTGGTAACCTCGACGGCTTTTCTCGCAGGGACAACCTCCTGCGACACCAACGAAGGCAGCACCCTGCACGTTAGGTATTGCATCGCTACATGAGTCCTCATAATCATTCATTCTTCTTCCATATCTATTGTATCACCACAAAACTGGGTTTAAAGGGGTACTGGCGTTTGTATACATATTTCCTTGGCTGTTGGCAATACCCTTCCCCCTGATTTCATAGCAAGCGCTGCTCATGGCTCCTGTGGCCACGCGCTTTACTTCATCGTCACTCAAACGTTACGTGTTTCTTTCTCTGTCTAACACAAATATGGTGGTATATACAGATATCTTGATAGTATCTGTTACATGATCAATCTCTATCTCGCAGTGGGAAAGGAAGCTGGTACACTAGAGTCAACGTCGACACTGCAATAAACATCTGCTTCATATCCCAACCGCTTGGCATGTTTGCTCAAAATTTTGTGTCTCCGCGAATTGTTTGAGAGGTCGAAGTTTCTGAAGGTCAAGAAGATGATGATATGCTACTCTACCCCAAAAAACTCCAAGATACATGGTCTACTGACCAAAGACCAGGCGTAAATCAATGAGATATTGTCCAAAGTTTATGGGTCTAGATGTTTCTCTGCAGCACTGCGCCACTAGATATCCTGTGCGCCCGATCTATCCGGAAACTCAATCTGCTTCAACAAGTCTTGTGCCGCCGCTCGAACGCCGTCTTGGCTCACAAAGTGCATGTCCGGCAACACCTCCCACTTCGCGCCCCATACTAGGAAAGAAGGAAGCGGATATTCGATCTTGATCCACTCCACTTCTTCTCCTCCCGTTACCAAACATCCACGAACCCGCACTGGCGCGAGCTCGCCTTCGCCCGGCGACCACGTATGATGGATAGGAAACAGCGCATGGAGGTTGTATCCGCCCGTTCCCGTCGGATTGCCTGCGCGAACCAAATTCAGTGTACGCAAGAATCCTACTGCGTCGCGAAAGATACCAAGCTGCTCGTTCTCGGGCGAGAACATAGAGGGCGTGATGGGTGGACCGCGCTGGCAGAAAATTGCGGTGATGTAGTTACGCAGCGGCGATCCAGCGCGTGTGTTCTCATACACCCATCTGACCGTGTCTAGACGACAAATGAAGTACTTCGGTTGCATCAGCGCCATTCCCAATCTCAACACCGTGTTTTGAGTCCTCCAGATCCCGAGTTCGCCGGCCAATATCTAAGATGTGGGAGTAACAAGTCAGTGAACGTCCCATACCCCGTTCGTGCATGAACATATCCTACCCATAGTTTCATGAGGTCTAACAATTTCGCGTCGGTTGTGTAGTCAGGCGGTTGGCGCTCGTATAGCCATTTAAAGAGGGTTCGGAAGGTATCAGGTTCGGCGTTGGGGAGATAGATGTCGCTTAGTATGATGCGGGGCAGGCCGTTGGGCATAGTGAATAAAGGGGAGACTTTTGAGAGGAGCGAGTGGTGTACGTCGAATCGTGTTGGATTGGCCTTGGGACCGACAACGAAGGTTATGGGTACACCGACGCCTTGGTAGGCCGTATAGGGGGGCAGGGCCATATTCGAACAAACGAGATAGGTGTACTTTTGGGAGGCTTGAAAGGCAGTTGGACTTTTATCCTTTCGTAGTCAGATGTATCTGAATGGTCTGAATGTTTGCTCATAGTTAACCGAGGCAGTCTTTAAGAAAGAAGGAAGTGGATTGATACAGTTTGGAATAAGGCAACAACTCATCTAAGAATATAGTGAAAGACTGTCTCGGAACGTGATTGTAATCCAAACACCGAGCTTCCACACACGGCTACACACTACTGGAATTCTGTGTTGCCTTAGAGCTTGGCCCTTAATTGTTGTTCAGCTGGAAGCGTAGTTGACGAGAAAAGTTCTGGATCGCAGGCTCGATTGATATAGACATGGTACTTTTACCTAGTGTTTACTCTAATTATGCAGTACCTAGGAGGTATTCGCTATTTTCTACGTTGAGGCAGGACGAGACAAAGTTGCGTGTATATCTCTGGGGCGTATTATGTAAGTACGGTACAACTTAGGGGGCTACGATGTAGTCTACAGAGACAGACTTTAAATTAACGCAGGACGAGACAAAGTGTAATGCACATCTCTAGGGTGTAGATGTAAGTAGAAAGTAATTCGCGACACAAGGTTGTAGTCTACAAAGATAAACTTCAGATTGTAGGGTCTCCTATATACATCGTTCTATTAGACTGCATTATAATGTTGTTAACAATCGCGCCTCCAGCCGCTTATGAGATCTGCTACCCAATCACAAAGATCTCGTCCGGTCCAAGTCGAGCTGATTCCTGCTCATGCGGCTTCATAAGATGAGGAATGAATGCAACACCGCAGAACTCAGCAGGATCTTCTCCATGGAGTGCGCCGGTTTCGTGCTCGGGTTCTGGCCACCGTAGTATGTGAAGGGGGCGTTCGCCGTGGAAGACACAGACTTTGTCACCGGGCTTGCATCCTGGCGTAGCGATACCGAAGCGGCCCTCGGTGGTACTAAAGAAAGAGTGACCAGCAATCTCATGCAATCTTTGTGCCCAGAGAATCGCTCGCGATTGCCGCTCAGCTGGAAGTTCATGATAATTTTTGAGATCTCCATCTCTGATAATATTCCATCCGTCCTTGTAAGCAAACGCTGCTTCTCTAGAGATCCTGGTATCTATCAGTAGAGTCATCAGATACTCTGAGGGTATACCGTCAATATCCTCTTCTGCATCGTGAGCGGTTTGACGAGCCAGGTGGAGGCTGCGGGTACAGACATCCATATTTGCTGCATGTACAGGATTGCTCAAAGTGCGCGTTGAAATATCTGCGCCCAATGCGTGTTCGTAACACCCTCGCAGCTCTTGGTTATCCACGACCTCTGATATTGTATCCAAAAGATGACCGCAAGTGTGCAAGTAATTATTCTCCTTTTCAAACGAGATGAAATTGCGGGATAAGAATGGGACCTCCAGCTGTCTCGGGCCACTACATTGCTGCGCTTGAACCTCTTCGTCTACAACCTCGTGTAGAAGTTGTTGATATCCGTTTCCGCTTATACGATTGGCCCAAGCACCTACTATCAAGAACAAACACGCTGGAACACCATCCAGAGCTGGGCACCAAGACGGAGATGATTGCGGCCTTCCCTCAATTGTGGGCGGCATTGTCAGTAGACACAGCGTTTGCTCTGCGGCTATGATCGTCCTCGCGAAGCGCACATGCGTTTCCCAGAAGTCAACCCGAGCGTTATCGCTGTAATCAACTTCTGGCTCCAACTTCGATCTGACATGATAGCTCAACAATCCGGTGACTGCCCAGGCTCGATCCACCGGCTCCCTTACATGTCGGTTGCGTAGCGAATTCAGAAGATAGGGTATATAGTGGATCGGTACCACTCCGTTTGACAAAACCTCCTTGCAACATCTTTTCAAGGTTAGGAGCTGGTTCATAGATCCCTCTAAACCCTCGATGATCTCGAGAAGCCACTGCCATTGGGAGATATATGCCCCGAATGTTCTAAACCACCCTTCACAGATGAATTCAAGAAAGTCTTCAAATTTTAACCAAAGATGTCCTAGCAGCATGATAGGCTGTCTTGCAAGAACTGCCTCCTGAAAGGTCCATAGACGTTCGAACCACTCGTGCTTGCAAATTTGTGTCATACCGAGCCAGAAAGGTTCATCTGTGCGCGATAAATCCGGTTTCAGAACCCAGGGTTGAAGATCCTGATCGAGCATTGAATTCCACTCCCTTTCCATTTGCAGTGCGTTGGAAAACCCGAGCACAAACTGCTCACTCTGCGCCGTGGGAAGGCCCATCCATATGACAACGATCGAAGCGAGCGAGTAGATCTGATGCATCAAGGGTATCTGTACCGCCTTCTCTTCGGAGTCTTGCTGATTGATGCATATAGAGTCCAGCCAATACGAGCGATAAGGGTATAGGTGCTGAAGCATCTCATAAACAGTAGGAGTAACTGTAAGGTTTCCTCCGTTGCAAGGGACGTTGATAGAAGCTTCTGCTTCTCCCCAGACATATGAGACTGCGTCGTATTCGAGATCATCTTGAAACTTGTGTGGAGTGACGGTCAGCCGCAAAGTATCCGTCTCGCGATCTATGGTGAGCAGTCGGATTTCATTAGGCTGGAGAAGTCGTTCGCCATAAGGTGAGTTTACATTTGCGCTATCGCAGGCTTCGTCAGGAGGTTCTTTCAATGCGCACTCTTCAAACTTTGCTTCCAGACTGTCGAGTGCCATTCGGGATTCGGAAATCGCTGTTGCGCAATGTTTGCAAGCTACTAGGAGGATGGTTGACGAACTGCGGGGGCGCGACGCTCAAGTACCCCGCCACGGCTGGCAGCACGAAGGATGGGGGCTAAATGTGGTTGTCTTGCCGACCTGAGGGCATGACGTGGTGCGCGGCATGCCACTCCAGTATCAGCCCGGGAATGCTTGATCCTGTCCACAGTAGTGGTCATGAGAGGATGTAAGGCGCATGTACACGCGCCAATTAAGTGAAGCATTACAGCGGGCTTGAAGTAGTAGGGGCTCGCCCGTGGACTAGGTAATCCAGGACGACCAATTAGGCTAAAGCCAACCTTGATGATGCTGTCACCTCATACAGGGAAGAAACTGAACAGGCGCGCTGCAGACTATATTATTATAAACAACGATAGTCGGCAAGATTTCAACGCAATGTAAACGTCTAGCTTATCGGAATAGGGTAAGTGCCCAGGTGTGCAACCCATTCCTTTGTCTGGAGAACGGGGCGCAATCACGTCTCACGCAGCGCATGGAGAGGCCAGGAGTGCTTGTCGATGTTGCACCAACATGTTGATACGCTCTATTCATGTGTTCGTGGGAAGTTCTGTTGTCTTATGAACGTGACCGTCATGGCCAATTCTTATTTGGCGGCCCCTGCAGCTTGAAGTAACCCGGCTGCAGCTTCTGGAAAACCTCAGTAGGGTCGTACTTGCGCGCGATAGCTCTCAGCTTGTTCGCGCTTTCCCCATAACTCTCAACGACATTCTGGAACTGACTGGCGTAGTTCATGTAGATGTAGTCATTGACCATATCCCTGCGCTTCGCCTCGGCCTCCATTTTCCTGACGATGTTTGCGTTCGCCTTCAACACGCGCTCGTCGTCCTCCTTTTTGTCCCAGCGGCTACTTAAGTTTATGAGGAGAATCGGGCCGTCGGAAGGCACAAGGCCTAGTGCGTTTCCGCCCTTCTTCTGCATTTGCGTGAGTTGTGCGACGGTGATGACCTGGAAGGTGTTTGCAGGTAGGATACCGGCCACATCTCGGATCTTCTCGAACTCTTCAAAGGTGGCGTCGAACATGAACTCTACCATCCCGTAGTCTAGTTTGGATGAAGCAGTCCAGAATGAGTCTCGGTAGCCTTTCGGGTTGCTGTCATTCAGCATTTGCGTGAAGTTGGCCAGTGTGTTCAATTGTAAGGTGTCCTGGAAAGCTGGGACTGCGCGGTACTCATGGAAGACTGGAGCGTCGAGAACTGGGTCAGAGTACTCCAGTTCGGCAACGGCGATCTTTGTGTTCGAAGCGGCATCCAGGAAGATGGCCAAGAACTGAGCAGCTTTTGGATCGGCCTTTTTGTTCGACCCCAAGTTCACGAAGGCATCGATAGCAGCAGGGAAGCTTTCCTCAAAGAACCTCCTCTGTCCACCAAGCATTAACGGGCCGTGAGCGAAAGTTTCGAGATTGAAGGTCGTGACGATGCCGACATTGTTGCCGCCACCTCTCAATGCCCAGTACAGGTCTGGGTAGGACTTCGGACTAGCTTGTACGATACGACCCGAAGCGGTAACGACCTCGAAAGACGCAACATTATCGCATGCCCAGCCGTATTCGTTGGAGAAGAACGAGATGCCGCCTCCTGTTGTGAGACCTCCAACACCGATGGCAGAGACGCGGCCACCTATCACCGCAAGGTTGTCCTCGGCAAGAGTCGAATAGATGTCATACCAGAGGCTACCGGGTCCAATTGCAGCAACCTTCTTGTCTTTCGACAGGGTGATATCCTTCATGCGCTCGAAGATGACAGTGATGCCACCATCATTGCTCGATGCTCCAGTGAATGCTGCATGTCCTCCACTTCGTACTGCGAAAGGGCATTGAGTGAGACGCGACAGCAGAACGAGAGTAGACACATCGCGTGCTTCCTCGGGTTTGAAGACGCAATACGGTTGTGCTTCGCGCTGTTGCTGTGACCAAAAGTAGTTCACAGCTACGCCGTAGCCTGTCTCTTCTTGAGTGTCGACCTTCGCATCGCCAAAGATGCGTTTGAGAGAGCTACACTAAAATCGTGGTTAGTGCCATACCTGGAAAGAGATAACGCGTGGAGGCAGGTGAGACTTACAGCAACCGAACATGAGCCTGAACTGGTTCGCCTGGATAGGTCGGTTGGGTCAGGAATATCGAAGGCGTTTACACCATTGTCCAATAATGCAGCAGTTATATCAAAGTCGGGTGACTCGAATGTCTGTTGTGCAAGTAGTACGCTTGGGAAGAAGCCCAGGAGAATAAATTGACTAAATCGCATCATGGCTGGATGTTAAGTGCCTAAGAAACGGGTGCGACAAACAACAACCCCACAGCACGACTCGGGGGCACTTTCTTATAACATCCTGCATTCCTTTGCCACGAGTAAAGAGCGCATGAGCCCGCCAGTCTGGTGCAGCCGGGCGGAATCCCGGGCAGTGGCGAGCTGTGAGGCAGGGTGGGGACCTTCCTAGCAACACCATGGCTTGTCTAGATAGAAAGTTCGTAGCTGGTCAAGATTTAGTTAAGATGCCAGTCGAGTAATGTACGATGGTACCTAGGTTGAGGCGGCCACTACATGAGTAGTTTCCAAGACCAGCACGATGGGGATCTGGGGCTATCCTCAATTGGGCCTAAGCCGTCTCTCCAAGTACGCGTGCGCCCGCCACGATTGTGAACTGCAACTCAGATCGCCTATAACGTCTCGTGGAAGCTTAAACACTTACTGCATCTACACACTGATTCGCGTCAGTAGACATTTCTTCAGCTGCTGTTAGTTCTCATGGCGTCTCGACGCAGCGGAAAAACGTAGCCGTCGTTGCATATGCAGAAATATCCGATCGGTGAGCTTCATGCAATAAGTGGGTTGCATATATTTCAATAGCTGTAACAGTATTCTCGCTTACGAGAGATTCGTGGGTTCACATTGCGTCTTGAAGATGAGGGCGAAGAGGTTGTTGTTCCTGGGCTGATGAGGGGAGCGGCTCCGAAGGCCGGACCAGGAAAGCGGAGTGAGGCGTGGGTCAACACTAAGCTTGAACTAGCAACGGCAGCCCCACTGCTCGCCTTCGCTTTCTTATCGCCTTTTGAAGTTTACCGTCTCGCTACCTATGCTTTTTGCGAAGCTCTTGTTACCATAACCGACTAAGTCATGGCGGCAATGGCCGGCGCCGTGGACCCCCCATGGCCTCGCTCCTTCCGTCTGAAGCCAAAGCCGAATGGCTCGCGGGTACTGTTCAGCCACGATTGTTTCCAGGGTCCGCAAGATCTACCCCCTGAGGTTCTTTACAGCGACAACTTGACCAAATCCGAACAATTGGCGCGCGACTTTCTCGATGAGGCTGTCGTGGGCTTTGACATGGAATGGGTTTGGCCAGAGACAGAAGTTCTCAAGGGAAGAGTTGCGCTCATCCAGGTTGCGAGCGAGAGCAAAATAGCCTTGTTTCACATCGGACGTCATGACGGAGATGCAGCCGATCAGCTCATTGCGCCGTCGTTGCGCACGCTCATCGAGAGCCCCACTGTACTGAAGACTGGCCAATCTATCATGGGAGATTTCTACCGACTCAACAAGTACTTCCAACTACAACCGAAGGGCGCGATCGAGCTGAGCTACTTCCAAGTGTTGGTCAATCCGGGCAGGCCAAACTTTAATTCTTCCTATTATCCAGGAGGCCTCAGAGGTCTGGTCGAGAAGTACTTCCCGGGATACACGTTGAAGAAAACTGAGCACATGCACAAAGATTGGCTGGCGCCGCTTGAAACAAACCAAGAGCTTATACAGTACGCCGTTGCAGATGCATATGCAGGACTTATGATCTACCATCGGCTGAATGCGTTACGACTGAACATGCAGCCTTGTCCGCCCCTACCAGCACGGGTAGAAGAAACCAGGGCTTACAATGAATACACTTCGGGTGCTTTTCCTGAGCCCAAGCCAATTTACTTGCAGTCCATCCACCCGCATGGCTCAAGTCGACAAGCTAGTTGGTTCTTTTCGATGGAGGAAGATGATGAGGTGGCGACGGAACTTGATACTGATTCGAGAGCGTTGTACGATCGGCTGGTAGACCTTCGTCAGAAGATAGCGAATGAGGAGGAGATACACCCTGAACAGCTCACTACTGACTGTACACTTCGACATATTGCCTCAACCCGAATCGCGACAACGGACGAGTGCATCAAGCTGCGCGGGATCTTTCCACAGCTTCGCAAAATACTCGCCAGAGAGTATGCTAAAGTGGTGAATACTTTCCAAGAAGAGATCCAAAGTGCAGCGGCAAACCAGCAAACTGAAGATGGATTTCCAAAAATTCGTGAAGATGCCAAAGGCACTGTCTCAGATTCCCCCCGAATGCCAGCGGAAGAGACTGACCAGGCACATACTGGACTTTCATTCTCTATGGCAGAAACTGGAATCGCTACGGACGAGCATACCGGCGGCGATACCGAGCCTGAGAGCGATGCCGAAGAAACGAATGAAATCCCAGCAATCCATCCCTCAGCTAGTGTTAAACAGGATCAAGACACGGACAAGCATAACGATGATGCACCGTTGAAACGAAAGCGTTCAACAAGCCCACAAATCGGTCGGCAACCTCCCGCGAAGAGCTCCTAGACGCTTTGCCGTGGACAACTATACATCCGATGACGCAATAGTATGGCTGTGGTCACTCAGCGACTACGCATCTACTCCATATGAGGAAGCAATCGAACGTCAACCTCCTGGAAGTCTGTAATGCCTTGAAGGTTTGGTCAGCTTAGGGTTCAGTATCAGTGTAGACTACAGCGCATCTGTTCGGCTTTCCCTTGCACGAGGTGCATCGGGGATTTGACCAGAACTTGACCGGATCTGAGTAGAGAGGGGCTTGTATACATGCGGGAGCGGGCCCAGGTTATGTGAGTGAGTCAGCTTGTACGAGGGAAGGCAAAGGAAGGGACGCCCCGCAGCTTACGGCCGGAGCAACGCAGATTGGGGACCAACGAGGAGTAACTCTTGGCGTATGTATACTCATGGAATGACGGCTAGGCTTTCTTACTCGCGTTGATTGGACTGAGTAGGTGCATTTGTCAAAAGAGTGTACGAGGCTGCCTGCTTGGCTCTCGCATTAGGCGTGCCTACCTAATGCAAGGCGTAAGCTGTGTATTGTACAAACCCCGCGCCCGTCCACAGCTCTTCTTCAAGTTCTCAAAACAAGCCTCTGATCTCATCTACCTTACCTTCAAGTGCAAACTGCCTCCGAACCCAATTAAAGATGCCGATCGACTCGTCAACATGGAAGGAGTACAGCAAGATGGACGCCGAGTTGGAAGCCGTGCGAACCATCAGCAAGCCCATCTATGCACTCTGCTAACAGAGTAAGCTGCTACCCAATCTACCACCGAGCAAGTCTTTCGAAGACTACTCATCGGCTGTCGAATTGCGTCAGTCTTTCAATGAGCAAGTCGCTCAGCTGATCGCAGCTGGTATTGTGACTTTCCCAGACTGGACCGGGTACCACAAATCCGAAATTCAAATCCCCACGCGCGATGGCGCATCGATGCGTTCGCTGGTGTACCATCCAGAGGGCAAAGAGGCAGGGCCGTTGTATGTGTACTTCCACGGCGGAGGATGGAGTTTCGGGATGCCGGAGTATGGCGAGGGTATGGCGGAAGTATTGGTGAAAGAGTTGGGCTTCACGGTCGTAAGCGTTGGGTACAGGTATGGACCTGAGCACGTCTTTCCTACTGCCGCGCATGATGCTATCGATGCGGTCAAATGGGTGAGTACATGCACAGTCGTTTCTTCCAATTCCAAGAGACTGATTTACACATCTTCAGTGTGGCGAAAATGCAGCGTCGTTGGGCGCCAACCCTTCTAAAGGCTTCATCGTGGGAGGAACGTCAGCTGGAGGCAATCTGGCAGCTGTAGCAGCTCATCAGGTTGTTGATGACAATTTGTCTCCGAAGGTGACTGGCGTCGTCCTCCTGTCTGCCCCGTTGTGCCATCGCGAAGCCATGCCAGAAGAGTACAAGCCACACATATCCAGCTGGGAGGACCACAAAGACGGCCTGGTACTGAGCCGACAAGCCATTGAATGGTTCTATGGCAACTACAAACCAGACCCTATGTCACCGTTGATGAGTCCGTTGATCTGGAAGAGCCATCAAGGCCAACCCGCTACGTATCTGCAGGTTATGGGGTGAGTGCAATGTGTCGTAGATGCTGAACAGTGCTGACGAACTCAGGACTGATCCACTTCGTGATGAGGCGCTCGTGTACGAAAGTCTCCTCCAAGACGCCGGCACACCGACCAAGATTGAGGTTTACACTGGGTTACCACATGGCGCGCCCGACTTCTTTCCCATGCACAGCGCTGCGAAGAAGGCATTGGTGGATCTGAAGGAAGGTGTGAGTTGGATCATGCAGCAGAGCTCGGGTTGATACACAGCGAAGGATGTGTGCTAGAACATGGTAGATGCTAGACAGTTAATCGATGAGGTTCGCGTCTAATGGCTAGATGTCACGTAATGATAGCACATGTGAAGAGACAGCCCTACTGACCGTTGCTGCCCTAGGGGCTCGCTTCGGGGCGGGACCCTGCTTGGACGCAGGTGGCCTGCACGCGTTATGGCTCCGTCATAGCGCGCCTTTCTTCTTTCACCCCAAGACACACGATACGGGACTCCGTACGCCCGCACACACGACGGGCGACGTCCTGCACCGCAGGCAGAGAGCGCCAAGATGTCGAACCATCCGCGGTCAAGCCCCGCCGCCGCGAGACCTGGCACTCCACGCGGGGCGCGACAAACAAACAGCGACGCGAACCTCCTTTCACACCCGCTCAAACGCCTGTCCCTGCACTCGGCCTCCAACACCCCGCTACCGCAGTCCCCCGCCTTGAACTCGCCCCGAAGTTCCGCTGACCTGCGCCGGACGCCCTCGACGCCCAATTTCAAAGCCAATGCCATCCAGCGCAGCCCCAGTGTAGCCAGTTTCCGCTCCTCTACGCCCACCCTGGGCAGGAAGACCTCGACCTCTTCACTCCGCGGCGATCCTCCTCGACCGGGCACTCCCCGAAGTTCCGCTTCCCGCCGGTCGTCGTTCAATCCCAATATGCAGGCACCCATGCCCAAGAGCCCGCTGGGCCCCACACATGTAGAAGAGAAGCCACCTCTGCGCGCATGTGATGTCGCCGAGGAGTACTTCAAGAAGGAGCTGGCCCGACACGAGGGCATGGCAGGCGCAGTCAATGCAGGAACCGTCGTTATCGTACACGACCAATGCTATGGCCATCGCTTCTCACGGCCCAAGACATCCAAGAGCCACCTCAGCTTGATCATGGAGCGACCCGAGAGAATACTGGCGAGTGTCTTGGGAATATCTGCGGCTTACGTACGGCTCGGCGAGCGCCATGCTGAGGGAGACAACCCGCCACATCCACACCACAACCCACCCGAACGTGTACCTTTCAAAATTCGCAAGACTTCGCGGGCCGTCGACATCACTTCGCAGGTCGTCACAAACGTACACGGAACAAAGTGGATGGGCGAACTCAAGACACTCTGCGACAATGCTGAACGGAAGCTTGCATCGACTGGGAAGGAGCTGGCCAGGGACACTCCTGCAGTCCAAGGACAAGCGCCCAAGCAGCAACTGCACGCCGGTGACCTTTACCTCTGTCCCGAATCGCTCAACGCTTTTCAGGGTGCTCTGGGTGGTGTCTTGGACGCTGTGGACGCTGTCTTCCAGGGAACAAGTCTAGGTGGTGGCCCCTCTAGAGCTTTCGTCTGCATCCGTCCGCCTGGCCACCACTGCTCTGACGACTTTCCCTCGGGTTTCTGCTGGCTGAATAACGTTCACGTTGGCATTGAACACGCTATGATGACATATGGGCTCACCCACGCAGCCATCATTGACTTTGATCTGCATCACGGAGACGGCTCGCAGGCTATAACATGGGCGCGTAACAAGAAGGTCCAGAACATGCCCAAAAACACACCCAACTGGAAGAAGACCTCGATCGGCTACTTCAGCTTACACGACATCAACTCATACCCATGTGAGGACGGCGACGATGACAAAGTCCAGGCGGCTAGTCTCTGTATCGACAACGCTCATGGTCAGTCCATCTGGAACGTCCATCTACAATCATGGAAGACGCCTGAGCAGTTCTGGGAAATCTACGAAGAAAAGTACTTGGTATTACTTGAGAAGACCCGTCAATATCTCAAACACCACACCAACCGCTTACGGTCCACGCCAAACCAGCCCGCTCCAAAGGCAGCCATCTTCCTGTCCGCTGGATTTGATGCGAGTGAGTGGGAGACTGCTGGAATGCAACGCCATAGCGTCAACGTGCCTACTGAATTCTACGCTCGTTTCACTCGGGATGTGGTCCGGTTGGCTGAAGAAGAGGGCACATCTGTGGAAGGGCGTGTCATCTCAGTCTTGGAGGGCGGATACAGCGATCGAGCGCTCACTAGTGGTGTATTCAGTCATTTGAGCGGCCTCGTTGATGGCCAAGTCTTGAAGGCCTCAGAACCATCAACGGGCCTCTCTCACTCTATGCGGAACAGACTTAGTGGAATCAGCATACAGGACGAAGACGTTCCCATGCAGTCTGTCGAAGCAGAGCTCACGCCCGTCAGCTACGATCCTCAATGGTGGCATACAGATCGTTTGTCCGAACTGGATGGTCTTGTTCCGCCCCCGCCCGTACATGTCTCGAAGACGACACGCACTGACCGTCTGGCCCATTTTTCTTCGCCCACCCAGTCCTACGTAGCCAAAGTCGTGGATCCAACCAAGATCAATCGTAGCCTTTCCGCCAAGTACGCCTCAAATCCATTGAGAGCGCCCACCCCACCACCACCGGAGGTTGACTGGGCTACAGCCGCCCATGCTCTGCGTACTTTGCTGGTACCATCGGATCGCCAAACGCGTAGCCACCGACCAGAGGATTTGGCCGAGGTGAAAGTCAAAAAGGAGAAGCCTGCTGCGTCTGCTGCGGCCCCAGCCCGCACAGATACATCAGGGCGACAACTGCGTGGTCGTAAAGCCGCTCCCTCCTACGCTGAGCCTGGTTCGGACGACGAAAAGACACCTCGCGTAGAATCACGGGCGAGTAGGCGGCAGACCATAGCCGACTTCGCACCAGCCAGCTCAGAAGCTCCAGCTTCAGCAAGCTCTGCTTCTCGTCGCATGAGTATTGCTTCGAGCGTCTCTTCCATTGGCGATAGCAGGGGTGTTAGTCGTGCGCCAAGTGTAGCAGCAAGCCGGAGAAGTGTTGCGCCTTCTGCAGCTCCAGCTAATGGAGTTGCGATGAAGAAGGCACGAGGCTCAACAACGACAGCAGCTGCAGCAGCTCGTGCGCCTCCACGTCCAGCCGTTGCGAGAATGCCTTCGACCCAATCTGTCAAGCCCAGTGCCCCAAAAGACAAGGAGAATGATGGCATGGACGCACTTACTTCAGGCCTAAAGCGGGTTACGTTGAAGATGCCATCAAAAGAGGAATATGATGCACGGGAGAGGGAGAAGGCTGAGAAGTTGAAGGCTGCCGAAGCACCGAAAAGAACCACCACCCGAAAGCCACCGGCTGCTCGCGCTCCTCCGACAAAGCCTGCGACCAAACCCGCGACAACCGCAAAAAGGGGTCCAGGTCGTCCAGCAAAGACTTCCAAACCTGCGTCCCCAGTTCCCGAGGCCCCGCAGATGCAGGTAGCTGCTGCTGCGCCGCTCGAGCAGCCTCAGCCGGTACAGATGGATTCGTCTACTGTCTTGCCACAGCAGGAAATGCAAGCTTCCGTGGAACAACCTCCAATCGATCGTCGAATCTCTGGTGGAATCGTGCAACCACCCACTGAGTTGCATGACATGGCTATAACACCCGAGCAAATCCGTGAACAACTCCCCATGGTAAGTTCCAACTACGCAATACATGTGAGACATATGCTAACTTCGCAGCCATCTTTCGTCACTGTAACAGAGCCGCTCAAGGATGTTTCACCACCTTCTCGCGCCGATACGCCTCCACCTCCACCCCCATCGAATCTTTCAGAGTTTGTCAACTACACTGCGCAGAACTTTGGCGGAAATTCAGAGTTCGTAACTCCGCACGACGCATCAGATCCCCAGGCCTCGGCAACTTTACAGTGGGTTGCCAATACACATGCTGAGGATACCAGCATGCCTGGAGTTCCGCTCATGTCACCGCCAAGCAAGAGGGCTGATCTGCCTGTCTTCACATCAAACGGCGCGATACCATTCGCATCAAACTCGAACGGAGCCATGAACGCACACTCTAGGCCAGAGGATGCAGGTGCCGCATTGAAGAAAGAGGAAAACGGACGGGATATCTGGGACATACCCGACACGCCAGCTCGTTAGAGTACTTCAGCACTGCAGCCCTCCACTCAATTTTGTTTTGCTTTCATTCTTTGATCACGCGTACCGCGATGCGATACCGCGGTTGCGTTCATCAGTGGTTATTGCCGGCTTACGCAAGGCAGACTATACCTGACGTTTCCCAGCTTGGTGTTTATTGGTGGAGTTGATTTCACTTTAGCGAATCGGCGCGTGAGCCGTGACTATTTGGAGTTGTCTTTGTAGAATTTCTGTGGGGCAGATCGTCGATTGTAGCTCTACCTAGAACATGCGCATGTAGAAGATAGATACCCCCGGAGGCGAGTATGCGAAGGATTTAATGCGAAGTTTCTCATACTACACTTGTCTTTCAATTGTGTTCAATGGGTCCTTGCATCGTCTAAACAGCTTTCAATGTATCAGAGCCGAACCAACCCCGCGGGAGTGAAGTTCCAACACCACCCAAAGTACCAATACACCCCTCCCACAATTGCCACAACCCCCAGGGTAGGAAACCCTGCCTAAGCGCCCGTCCGAATCCCGTACTCAGCGCCGGTGTAACTGCAGCCCCCGCAGGCCGCCGCCCAAGTACATGGTGTAGCATGTCAACATCGGTGTGGGCAGGCGCGGGAACCAATGATTAGCGTGCATTCCGTATCATGGGACAAGGTTTCGGTGCGGGGCAGCCAAAGCGCGACATGCGCATCATGCACGTCCAAGGGTCTTAGCTTACGGGGCGTGACGTACTTCTGGGTCGCGTCCTTGATTGCGATGGCTAGTTGGTTGCCTGGGAGGCGTGTGTGTAGGAGGATGAAACGTACACGGGGATGGGGGCAGCTGG